GGCCGCAAATACACCGGTGCTCGGTGGAGATAGGGGCGGCAAGGCGCAGAGCAACACCAATACTTAGGGTCCGATGGTCCAGGCGGGTGCCCAAGGCGGAATTAGGGACTGCCAACAGGAAGTCCCCGGCATGGGGCGCTTGCACAGCTAGAAGACGCACTCTGTCCTTCCTGGAAGCTGCCTCCAGCAATGATGTGGCGATGTTCTCCACTATGGGGCTATCCCATTTGGACTGTTTGCAGTCATTTGGAAAAGTCGGTCGAGGATGAGAGTTGACGAGAGTGTCCCACTGACCGGCCCCTTCCGCGAATTTGGGATCATGAATCCCAATGGAGTCTCTTAGGTGTTCCGGTAGTATTTCCTTAACTAATTCACCTGTTGCACTGGTCGAGGATAAGAATGCTGGCAATGCTAACTGTGTCGCCTTGCGAATACCTATTCCCCCGAGTCTAACTGGGAGCGTTGCTTGGTCCCATTGGTCATCTTGCAGGGAGAGGTTTAACACTTTCACGGTTATTGACCTTAGGAGTGTGTCATATTCTGTTAATTTTGGGCTGTCGAAGGAGGGAGCACACCTTAGGAAATAGGTCAGTCTGGGCAAAGCCAGGCACCTTGTGAGAAGGTACAAAGCATCGTGGGCGTCCAAAGCCCCTATTCTTCCTTCCATCCTCCTCAGGTCGTTCAGCTTTTCTTCGAGGACTACCTCAATGGCGCTCGAGCCCAGAGGTGTCCCTAGCAGCACACTGTCGGTGGGAGCGATCACTTGGGCTCCTGGCAATATGGTTCGCACTGCATCTATGGTTGGTTGGCTAGATGAGATGATTTCGCACTTTAATGGGTTTAGGGTGAGTCCTAACTCCTCTCCCTTAGATTTCACCAGCTGTAGATCTTCTAGCAGGGACTCCTGTGTCCCTGCCAGGGTGCCATCGTCCAGGAACCAGATGTTGAGTTCGCTGGTCAACCTGCTTGTGACCTCTTTAACAGCCATGCAAAAATGAAAAGGGGCAAGTGGGTCTCCCTGCTGGACACCTTCTGCAGAAACAACATATATATATATATATATATATATATATATATATATATATATATATATATATATATATATACATATGTCGTACCTAGTAGCCAGAACGCACTTTTTGGCCTACTATGCAAGGCCCGATTTGCCTAATAAGCCAATTTTTCCTGAATTATTATATTTTCTCTAATTTTTTTTCTTATGAAATGATAAAGCTACCCATTTCATTATGTATGAGGTCAATTTTTTTTATTGGAGTTAAAATTAATGTAGATATATGACCGAACCTAACCAACCCTACCTAACCTAACCTATCTTTATATTTTAGGTTAGGTTAGGTAGCCGAAAAAGTTAGGTTAGGTTAGGTAGGTTAGGTAGACAAAAAAACAATTAATTCATGAAAAGTTGGCTTTTTAGGCAAATCGGGCCTTGTATAGTAGGCCGAGAAGTGCGTTCTGGCTACTAGGTACGACATATATATATATATATATATATATATATATATATATATATATATATATATATATATATATATATATATATATATATATATATATATATATATATATATATATATATATATATATATATATATATATATATATATATATATATATATATATATATATATATATATATATATATATATATATATATATATATATATATATATATATATATATATATATATATATATATATATATATATATATATATATATATATATATATATATATATATATATATATATATATATATATATATATATATATATATATGTATTAGTATATTTTGGTAGCAGTCTTTCCTGTAGACATATATATTATTAAATATGACCGAAAAAGTAAGATTAATAATTCTAACACGAATTTTCTCAATCTTTCGTACATTTCTTTTCACTGTTGGAGGTAATTCAAAAATCAATTCTCCAAAATTCATTTTTATTTCTAGTCTGACGCGACACGAGTGCGTTTCGTAAAACTTATTACATTTTCAAAGACTTTTGTTTACAAATACACAACTGAATAGAACTTACATGTCTCCGATTTTGTTTATATCTACATTTGAGTGAGGTGGATGGGGTGAGGTGGCATTAATAGGGTATTAATTTCATCAACACAAGACAGAACAAGAGGTGGCATTAATAGGGTATTAAATTCATCAACACAAGACAGAACACGAAACAATGGGTATTGAATGGAAGTGATTGTAGAAAGCCTATTGGTCCATATTTCTTGATGCTTCTATATTGGAGCGGAGTCTTGAGGTGGGTAGAATATAGTTGTGCATTAATTGGCTGTTGATTGCTGGTGTTGACTTCTTAATGTGTAGTGCCTCGCAAACGTCAAGCCGCCTGCTATCGCTGTATCTATCGAAGATTTCTGTGTTGTTTACTAGGATTTCTCTGGCGATGGTTTGGTTGTGGGAAGAGATTATATGTTCCTTAATGGAGCCCTGTTGTTTATGCATCGTTAAACGCCTAGAAAGAGATGTTGTTGTCTTGCCTATATACTGGGTTTTTTGGAGCTTACAGTCCCCAAGTGGGCATTTGAAGGCATAGACGACGTTGGTCTCTTTTAAAGCGTTCTGCTTTGTGTCTGGAGAGTTTCTCATGAGTAGGCTGGCCGTTTTTCTGGTTTTATAGTAAATCGTCAGTTGTATCCTCTGATTTTTGTCTGTAGGGATAACGTTTCTATTAACAATATCTTTCAGGATCCTTTCCTCTGTTTTATGAGCTGTGGAAAAGAAGTTCCTGTAAAATAGTCTAATAGGGAGTATAGGTGTTGTGTTAGTTGTCTCTTCAGAGGTTGCATGGCGTTTCACTTTCCTTCTTATGATGTCTTCGACGAAACCATTGGAGAAGCCGTTGTTGACTAGGACCTGCCTTACAATACAGAGTTCTTCGTCGACTTGCTTCCATTCTGAGCTGTGGCTTAGAGCACGGTCGACATATGCGTTAACGACACTCCTCTTGTACCTGTCTGGGCAGTCACTGTTGGCATTTAGGCACATTCCTATGTTCGTTTCCCTAGTGTAGACTGCAGTGTGGAAACCTCCGCTCTTTTCCATGACTGTTACATCTAAAAAGCGCAGCTTCCCATCCTTTTCCATCTCGTAAGTGAAACGCAGCACGGAACTCTGCTCAAATGCCTCCTTCAGCTCCTCCAGATGTCTGACATCAGGTACGTGTGTAAAAATGTCGTCGACATACCTGCAGTATATGGCCGGTTTCAAGTTCATGTCGACTAAGACTTTTTGCTCGATGGTACCCATGTAGAAGTTTGCAAACAGGACACCTAGGGGAGAACCCATGGCGACCCCATCTACTTGCTTATACATGTGCCCATCCGGGCTCAAGAAGGGTGCCTCTTTAGTACAAGCTTGGAGTAGTTTCCTTAGAATATTTTCGGGTATGTCAAGAGGAGTGCAGGCTGGATCACGATACACTCTGTCGGCTATCATCCCGATTGTCTCGTCCACAGGTACGTTGGTAAACAGCGATTCTACGTCCAACGAGGCTCTTATCCCTGTGGCCCGTGTGCCCCGCAGTAAGTCAACAAATTCCTTTGGAGACTTCAGGCTGAAGGCGCAAGGAACATAAGGAGTCAGCAGGCCGTTGAGTCGCTTCACCAGTCTGTACGTGGGTGTGGGTATCTGGCTAATGATTGGCCGAAGTGGGTTTCCAGGCTTGTGTGTCTTGACATTCCATACGCATATCCAGGTTTATATTCCCCAATGATCTTTGGCAGGTATATGTCATTCGCAGTCGACAAGTCGCCAATATATGTCACTCTTAAAAAAGACGAATATCTGGCGAAAATGAACCTCATACTCTCTGACCAAACTAAGTTCCAAAGGGTAACGAAGGACACTACAGCCGAATTGAAAGCAAAGGTCAACAAACTGATCGAAACTGTGAACGCCAAGAAATCCGGACTCCACCTGCCAAAGATCATTAGGGAATATAAACCTGGATATGCATATGGAAATGTCAAGACACACAAGCCTGGAAACCCACTTCGGCCAAATTAGAGAAAATATATTAATTAAGGAAAACTTGGCTTATTAGGCAAATTGGGCCTTGCATAGTAGGCTGAGAAGTGCGTTCTGGCTACTAGGTACGACATATATATATATATATATATATATATATATATATATATATATATATATATATATATATATATATATATATATATATATATATATATATATATATATATGTCGTACCTAATAGCCAGAACGCACTTCTCAGCCTACTATTCAAGGCCCGATTTGCCTAATAAGCCAAGTTTTCATGAATTAATGTTTTTTCGTCTACCTAACCTACCTAACCTAACCTAACCTAGCTTTTTTTGGCTACCTAACCTAACCTTACCTATAAATATAGGTTAGGTTAGGTTAGGTAGGGTTGGTTAGGTTCGGTCATATATCTACGTTAATTTTAACTCCAATAAAAAAAAATTGACCTCATACATAGAGAAAAGGGTTGCTTTATCATTTCATAAGAAAAAAAACTATAGTAAATATATTAATTCAGGAAAACTTGGCTTATTAGGCAAATCGGGCCTTGAATAGTAGGCTGAGAAGTGAGTTCTGGCTACTAGGTACGACATATATATATATATATATATATAAATAAATAAAGAGTTTAGATTAAGATGACAGGTGTATACAGTACTTTCTCAATATAGGTTGTGAAGTGTGTACAGTACTTTCACAATACACACTTTACTCTCACAGTTCCTTTATGGTCATTTTCCAAGTAATTGTGTTGTCATCAGTCATGCTGTTGTTCATGTACTGTCAGTGTCTTTCATTGCTTCCATATTGCTTCTCTCTTCAGAATTCTATTTTTTTGTACATACATTTTTGCACAATGTACAGTTTTGAATAAAAAAAATTTAAATATATTATTTTTTACTAATATTTTTTAATATTTTTTTTTCACATAACCAATCTTGTACACAAAATATTTGTACAGTATCGGTTCCAGATATTTACATTGGTGACCTTCCATGCTTCTAGCACTCTTGAGTCTATGCTCCATCGCATGTTTAGTCAGATGCCCGAAACGCTTTGCGTAATAGTGGCTTTAGGCATTGTATGTACTAGCTCTATCTATAAATCCAACAAACTTTGTAAAATCTCTTTATGTATGTACCTTTGCCAAAATAAAAATTATTATTATTATTATTATTAGATGCTTTTATATCTCTAACATTAGTCAATATTAACACACAACATAGGTTATACTCTATAATATAAGCATTAACTCACCTAGTAGCTGATGTGTCTGTAAACCCCCAATCATTAATCCACATGTTATTTGTAAAGAGAAAAAGTGACACTTCACTGTTAAGTCATTTACTCTTCATATACCAACATTTATATTTAGATTTCTACTGTTGCTTATTTACAAATTATTCACCCACTTAAAAAAAAATCCAGTGTTGAATATAATGACAGGGCCCCCCCCCCCCTTTATCTCTCTCTCTGGTGGTATCATTGGTAACTCCCTAAAGCATCAAGGGAACCTTGTCAGAGAAAAGCACTTTATACCATTAATATAGAATCCTTAGCAGAAAGTTTCATTATTAAGGGTTATGTCTCCCCATCAAGTTCCAGTTTGGTTTCCAGCATAACAATTAATTTTAATCCGTCTGTGCTTTCTCTGTGTGTATTAACAATGACAGATAAAACACACTGAACCTCCAAATCACTTTTAAACCTGCTATTCTTGCATTAGAATGTGATTTTATTGAATTGTTGCTAACAGTATTCTTTGCCTACATCAGATAACCCAAAAATATAACAAAATAATCACGTAGCATCCAGACGATCCTAAATAAACTACACGTAAGTAATTACCAAATAAGGCACCAAGCCGGGGCGACTATGTAGCGCCATCAAAGTTGCAGGATATTAAAAAAATATATATCACTGAGAATGCAATACTAGACCAAGTGTATAAGGCAACGATACCAATGGTATCGGATTCACTGAAGATTCGAGGGACAAATGACTACTACCTTGCGATAATTTCGGGTCTCAACATCCCCGCGGCCCGGTCTTCGACAAGGCCTCCTGTCGACTTGTTCACCCTAGAGACAATTGGGAAGCAAAAGACACGAATATCTTGAAAATCAGGACATTCAACAAGGAAATGTTTGACTGTAAGAGGGATAATGCAGTTCAGACAATAAGGAGCAGAGTGGTGTTCCATAAGGTGCCTGTGAATTAAACGTGTATAACCAATATGCAACCCTGCCAGAGCCATTTCCCACCGCTGCTGACGGTGGTAGGAGGAAAGCCAAGGGGACACACCACCGTTAAGAGCACATAGTTTGTTACCAGTAACACAAGACCAATGACCCTGCCAACAGTCACGGATTGAGGAATGAATGACGGTAGAAATCAGAATAAGGAATGTCCTTTCGGAAAATAAAGCAAGTGTGGATAGCCTCCTTAGTGGCAGCGTTCACATGTTCATTTAAAGAAATACCACTATTTATTTATTTATTTATATACAAGAAGGTACATTGGGTTTGTGAGAATACATAGCATTGTATTTACAATCTTGTAAACCCACTAGTATGCGCGGCGTTTCGGGATTGGAGGGAACCCAGCAAAACAACCTGTTTAAATCTGCTAGAGATGATAAGCTGCCAATATTGGATTTCAACTACCACAGGGTGCATAGGATTGAATGACTCCAGAGCCATGAGAGCACTGCGAGAGTTGACCACAATGACGAAGAAACCACTGATGATGGATAATCAGTTGATGAAGAGCATACAAAATTGCATCAAGTTCTGCCCAAAAAATGTTAGTCACTAGGGACATGTACCCCTAAAAGTATGTATCAGCCTGACGTATGTGATAAATCAGTCTGCGAGCATCCGCGTCCAACAGCCTGGGTGACCAGTCTTGCTACAAGGAGGCCTGGTCAGAGACAGGGCTGCGGGGTCGTTGATCCTTGAAATCAATGCAAGATAACCGCAAGGTAAGGCTAGGCAGCACAGGGAACAGTGTTCCGGATCAACCGAGCAGTACAGTTAGGAGATACGGCTAAAGCTGGAGGAAAGGAAAGAGAGAGGAATTGTTGCAGGAGCGTCCAGGTTAAGCACCAAGCATCAACTCCTGGAGACACACACAACTCTGAAGACCAAGAGATCAGAAGCTGAAATAAACCACAAGTACTTACAATAAATACAATCATTCATGTGGAAAACATATACAATATTTTGCTTAGTAGTAATCACTGTAATGTGCTTCATGTTGCTTCAATACTGTTAAACAGTAACATGTATTGTGCATTGTCTTTTTTTTGTCTTAAAATTTATTTACACAGCCTTTGCCTGGTTCCAAACAGACCTGAAGTATGTATCAATCTTCATGATTTGATATGTCAAATTTGCAGTGATTTATACAGACGACGAGTCACAATAACGTGGCTCGAAATATGATGACCAAACCACACTTCAAAAAATGGAGAAACGACGATGTTTTGGTCTGAGCTGCTCGACTTGATAATGGTCCAGGATGGATCGAAAAGTAGTTTCTCCATTTTCTGACTTGTGGTTTGGTCATCAAGTTGTTTTTACCTAACCAGCAGGATTTGAACCTGGGCAACCCTCCAAATCTACTGAGGTGATGCCCACAAGTCTGAGGTTAATGTCGTACCATAATTTTGAGACTGGTCGGAAGTGACAAAATTGTGGTGCACTAAGTTGTAGTCATTGCAACAGTAACATTGGTCGTCTCTACCCATAACTGCTTCACTAGGAGGATTCCCTCTACACCCGTAGTCTTCATTATAGTTCTATGTGTCATTTATATAAAAGATTTACTACACATTTGTAGTCTTTATCACAAGTGAAGGTAAGATATTTGGTTTCACAAAATATACTGTGGGCTGTGTATCTCCATCACTTGTATCCTCCTCGTTTTTCACATGCTCTCGTTGCATGACGTCCATTTCTCCACCTTCTGACTGACTGGTCATTGTAGGCACCTTCCATTTTCCTGAGGAGGTTCTTCCTGTTGCCAACCTAGACATTTTGCGAAAACTTCTGCGGATGCTTGGACTGCTTCCAGCACCAGTATCGAAGAAGGAGAACGAGGGTAAGCTGTGTGCAGTGTCTTCCAGAAGTTCAAGGTCTCTAACATGTCTGGAGACAAGTAGGGTGAAGATGGTGCTCAGTGTAAATACTACACTGGCCAGTCCGTGGAATCTGTGCCTGTGAGTGATGAGAGATATTGGTAATTTTTAACTCAAGTCAGCTGAGAAGCAATTAAGTAACATATGACTCATATTAGCTGACATTGAGCTTTGTTTAATCACAGTTCATCTTAAGTCTTACCTTACCCTTTTTTCCCCTATATAATACAACCTTCCAATAGGTTTATAAGATCCCTAATTATTGCTGGGTGAAAACTAAATAATCAGTACCCAAGCATCCTTCATGTATGATGTCACTTGCAAGATGTGGGGTAAGTGCACTATTGAGACTACAACTTGATTAATGGGTATAACTAGATTAATTTGCTTCGTGTAAATGATCCATCTATAACACCTAACGGTATATTCAAGGTCCTTACATTACTCACCCAAAATCAATGGTGTTGTAGAGGGAGCAGGAGGTTGGGGTGCCACATTCTTCTTTCCATACCAAGCAAGCAGAGTCCACAAGAGTGCCAGCAACCACTGGACTAACCAAGGCAGCTAGTGACATTATAGTACTCTTAATGCCAAGTGCTGCCGACTTGTCTCTCACCTCCACGCATCTGAAATTCACCACATGTCAAACAATTAGTTCTCTCTTCAAGAATAGTAACGAGAAAGAAGTAAATAAGTATAGAGATAAATTATAGATGACAGCAGCAGATGCTAAGAAAAATGAAATTAATGTGAAAGAAGTAGTTAACAAGAGCTACTGTCAGAAATGAGATTGATAAAGAGGAAGATATGTTGTTTCTTCTACAGTACGTGGTACTCCAGATCATGACATGTGGAAAGAATATTAAAATTAAGTAAGTAATTATCAAAAGAAGAAACCAAACCGGGAAGGCTATGTAGCACCATCAAATGTGCAGAATAATCAGAGGGCGCTAAATATCACCAAGGATGCCAATACGAGAACAGAAACGCATAAGGTGAACTAGTATCATATTCAAAAGTATCCGATTCACCAAGAATTCTATTGAGGGACAAGCGACCGCGAGGGACGGTTGGAAAACACACTCGTCCTGGAAGTCAGGACATTCAACAAGGATATGCACGACCATAAGAGGGACAATGCAATTTAGACAATAAGGAGGAGGGTGGTGCTCCATTAAGTGACTGAGTTAAGCGTGTATGGGCCAATATGCAACCTTGCCAGAGCTATTTCCCATCGCCAGTTACGGTGGTAGGAGGACGGCCATGAGGACACACTACTCTTAAGAGTATGCAGTTTGTTACCAGTAACAGAAGACCAACAGTCCCGCCAACGGGTAAGGATGGAGGAATGAATAACTGAGTAAAAGTCGGAATAAGGAATACCTTTACGGGAGATGGGACAAGAGCGGACAGCTTCCCTAGTGGCACCATATATAAGAGATCGTGTCTCAGAAATTAAAGTAATTTCTGCAGGCTTTTAATTGTTGCATGTACTAATAAAAGATAATCTAGCTGATCTCATATTAAGAGAGATGACGTTTAAACAGTTTGCAAAGGCAGATATTTGGTTTCATGGGCCTCGATGGTTAGTGAATGGTAGTTGGCCGGAACAAAAGCCACACGTCATTACGACACAAACTATAACTACCACCAGGCAGCAAGCTCAAATATCAGTCTTGGATTGTACTCGTTACTCCTCGCTCATCAAATTAATGAAAGTAACACAAAACATGTTTCATTATCTAAGGAAAAGAGGTATAAAATACATCTTTCCAGAAGAACTTATCTATTGGGTAAGACAAGCCCAGAAAGAGACTTATGGGTATAACTATGAAAATTTTCCACATAAGTTGGAATCCACAATCCACAATCCACAATCTCGGTCTGTGGATAGACCAAGAAAATCACAACATTCTGTGTTGTGGAGGAAGATTTAAACACGCAGATATCAATCGAGATACTGTGGCTTTTACTTTTCATGGCTTTTACCAAAAAATCATTGGATCACCAGGTTGATTGTGTTACATACACATCAACAAATCATCAACCATGGAGGAGTGTTAAACACACTCACACATATCAGACAGCAGGATTGAATTCCTCAGGGAAGACAGTCAGTCAAATCAATCTTGAAAAATTGCATGATATGCCGAAGGTACGATGCAAGAACATGCTCCTATCCTGGGTCACCACCCCTACCAAAGGAACGAGTGGTCCATTTACATCCTTTCGAGACGTCAGGAGTAGATTATACAGAAGCAATATAGTAGTAGGGAAGCATGTTTACGGGAAATCTGTTCCCATCCTGCAGTTACTTCCACACTGGAACAGCGTCACTGCAGATGAAAATTTATCCCTTCGAGAGCCCCATGGCAAGGAGGATTTTATGAACGATTAATAGGAACTGTCAAAAGAGCCTTGAGAAAATCTCTACACCATTAGAAATTCAATCTTTAAGAACTCTAGACAGTAATCACAGAAATAGAATCAAGGGTGAATAACCGGCCGCTGACATACTTGTCTGATGATCCTACTCAACATTAGCCATTAAGTCCTGCCCACCTAATGTATGGAAGACTTCTGACTCTGGTACCATCTCTAGTGGATGATGAGATCAGAGATCCCTCATATGTGGGTCAGAGCGAGTTGGTTCAGGGGTATAAGCATCTGTCCAGCATAATCCAAAAATGGAATGATGTTGGGACAAAAGAATATCTTACATCTTTATGAGAACATCACTATGGGGCCAATGTCCCACATAATATATCTAATCTCCAACCTGGCGATATTGTCTTTGTAGACAGTAATGGCCCTAGGGCTGACTGGCCATTGGGTAAAAATGTCTCTGTCCATCCAGATAACCAGGGGATTTTGAGAATAGTCAAAATCCTGTCTAAAGGAACCACTTCCCTGAAGACATTCGACAAACTCATCCACATGGAATCAGTGAGTCAGCTAGTTAGATCCTGAGAGACCTCCAGACCCTCTAACTCCACATGACCCACAGACTCCTAACAGACACACTCGTCCACAACGGACAGCCGCACAAAAGGGCAAGCAAAATTTGCACTTACATTATCAATCCAATGGAGTGTAAATGAATACATATGGTTACTATTGTCCTTAGTATTGAACTCTGTGCCAGTTCTCGCCTTCTGGAAGATGTGGGAAAATTTTACCCACTATATCTATATTATCTAAGAAATGTATTATTTCTAAATCATATCAAAATCATATCGGAATCACTACAGATTCACTATATCCTCTCTCCTACATTTGGATCCTGCATGACAATGCCTTGATCACGTACGACCATAGGGCTCTTCGTTGTCTATGTGACTTTGTGCATGATTTCTCAAAGATCTAGAAGCTAGATCTTCTAGAAGGATTTCTTAATTAAAAAACTATTGGAACAATTCAATCAATTTCTGGTACAAATTAAATCAAATCTTTAATAAGAATCAGTAGTGCTAGCAAGTACTACTTATAATTTTTAAATCCTATATCTAATTATATTATAATCACATCTTATCTCAATCATATGTCTAGACAGTAAAAATAATTAATATTCATGGAAAGCTCCCCCCTCTCAAGAGAGAGGGGGGAGTCAAACTCAGGAGTGAAGGGAGCGCCCACCACACCCCGAGGCAGAACGTGTGTGTTTCCAAACAGTGAAGAAGTCATTCGGTGCCTTACGAACATTAATTTGTAAGGGACACCTTATTCAATTATCTTTATCATCAATGATTACTCTCTAGAACTAGGGAAGTACCTGGACAATATATCTACAAGGAAAATTCCTTGAACTTTATCTAAATAAGAGTGTAGGTAAAGTGGAACTCACTCACAAAGTGACGTTGTTTCTATCTCCACCATCACCTATTTTAGCCTACTGTAAATGCAATTAAGGACATAATCAATTAGCAATGCTACCAGAATAATAAACAGCAAAGCTGTGATATAAAATATCATGCCTAAACTCATCAAGAGAGTTAACCAGTCTGGCAACTTGTCAGACGGCACCCGGCATTCAGACCTAAGTATATTGAGTTACTTTAAGAGTGTTAATTGGCAAATTGCATGCTTTTATAACCTTAGTATATCCAATAAGTCTGTCTGTAATTAAAGGGTGAGGTAACGTCTCATATTTCAGTGAGTATTCATTACTCTTGCAGCGATTGAATCTCTTCTGAATCCCCAGACTCTTGTGAGATTCATAACCTCGTGAGTGTCCTTAGTCTGGGAAGAGTTCCAGTCGAGCGTAACTGAATCTCTTCATATAAATTGAATATATTTATATATACTTGAACATATAAATTATGTTAACAATTGCTTGCTTAGTTATCTTTAATTTATAATATAAGTTTATCTAATTGAATATAATCTTTAGTACTTAGACCACATTTAAGGTCATTTAATATCATACTTCTACAATTTAAATTATTGTATTTATTGTATAAGAATATATTGGCTGTTATAGTTAGGGTGCTAGGCCTGACTGTGTACATGTTTAAATTCTTGATTTAAACAGAACCAGTGTTCAGTTATAGAACTGAATTATTAAATCTTATCCTTGTATTAACAATACAAGCTGATGCAAGGAACTTGTCTCCAGGTGGACTGTGGATCTTCAATCAACTTCTCCATTCTTTCACCAGGACTCCACCTGCCCCTTACAGCCCACAGTCTGTCATTAGGCAAAGAGGAGCTAGGATTTACGACCCTAGCTAGAGACTTTAGTTGAATTAACTTTACATACAGTAATTTTTAATTTAGTACAGTTGAAGTCCCTGGTAGTTCTCCTCTCATATTAATCCCGGCATTTTTCCCCACAGAGATTACCACGAAGGCCAAAAGAATGAAGTTGGGACAATATGATATCGCCAAGTGGTGTCGTAAGCCTTTTGCAGGTCAAAAAGGGCAGCAACAACGGAGGTCTTCGCAGCTAAAGCAGTACGAATGTACACGTCCAAGTTCACCACGACATCTGTTGCACTGTGGCACTTGCGAAAACCATATTGAGGAGGGGAGGGGATGTGATAGTGTTCTAAGAACCACATCAGATGAACGTTAACCATACGTTCAAAGAGTTTGCAGACACAACTCGTGACAACTTCCCTGGTTTCCGAACAGGGAAGACAACGGCATCAAGCCAGTTCTCAGGGATTGACAACGACTCCCAGACCAGATAATACAGTCTCGGTAAATACTGAGACGTGCACGGAGGGAGATGACAAAGCATCTCATAATGAATGCCATCGAAGCCTGCTGCCGTAGAACCGCAGAGGGCCAGGGCAGACTGAAATTCAGAGAGAGAGAAGGGATCATTATAGGGAAGTCTGAAATGAGTGCAGAAATCTAAAGGACGAGACTCAAGGACAGGTTTACGAAGAAGGAAAGATTGAGGAAGATGAGAACCAGAGCTAACAGAAGAAAAGTGGGAACCGAGTTCGGTTGTGACTTGCAACGGGTCCGCCACAAGAGTACCACGGAGGTGAACGACCGAGAACGAACTTACCCGCTATCTTGTGGACACGCTTCCAGATCTGCAGCAGAGGAGTTTCGGACATAATGGTGGAAACATGAGACTTCCAACATTCTTGCTTAGATATATGGATGGCCCTAC